ACCAGGGAGGAGTGGAAGACCAGGTAACCCAGCAGCAGGGTCACCTTGTAGGCAGTGCGCTCGGTGGCCTGGAGGGGCAGCAGCCCCCCACACACGTCAGCCAACAGCAGCGCCTCCCCGGGTACCAACAGAGCTATGATGGCCTTCAGTGCTGTGTTCTCTAGGCGCAGCTGGAAGAAAGTTGGGCCTTTCTGGGGGTGTGTGCAGGGGGTGGGCAGCAGAAGGGTGATGTCACGGCCTCTGACTCTGCATCCTCAACGCCCCATCAGCCCTCCGTCAGCCACCTCCTGACTCACCGTCACCTGGAAGCAGGGTACCAGCTGCTGGGGGGGGACTTGGGTTTTCAAATCCCGAACTATGTACTCCCTCTTGACACTCACGATCTCATTCACCACGTGGGGCTGGAACTCGAGCTCCATCACTGGGAGGCGTGGGGGTGAGAATGGCGAACTAGGAAAAAGATAGCCCTGCCCCCAAATCGCCCTTGGGAATAGAGGCAGGGACAAGCTGGTTCCCAGGGATGATGGAGATGTGATGGCTGCTGGGGGCAGACTTGGAGATGAAACTGACCCTGAATTTGCAACCCCTCAAGTTTTCTCCAGTTAGAGGAAGGGGCCTTATCAGATTCATAGATGAATTTTCATTGCAAAAATAAATGCACTTTGCGTTACTTCCTGGAGGGGAAGTGGCCGCAGACTCTTCTCCCAGTATATCATCTCACACCTGAAATACTAGTATTCGTGGGGCGGCAGCTGTGGTATTTCCTGGAGGGCAGGGATGGAAGGGCAGAGTGGGACTTCTCTACCAAGTTGAACATCACCTGGTGTGTCTGTGGGTATTTACTGGGCGGCTGCACCTTTAGGATGAGGCCACAGTGACCTGAGCTGAACAGTGGCTCAGCCACTGCAGTTTGGCCCTGGCTGTTGAGGGCCTTTGCTGTGGGGTAGCTGAGGGGCAGGAGAGAAGACTGAGGAGGGGCCACAGAGAGATAGTGGCTGTGATAGTGGGACGGGCAGCATGAGAAGCCTGGTCTGCTCCTGGATCCATTCAACGCCCCTAAGCCTGGGAGGTGGACTGGTGTGAACACAGGCTGCCTACCCGTGTGTTAGACGTTAGCCAGAGGCCAACCCCTCCCCGCTCTCCTCCCCTCCCCGCTCCCCCGCCACCCCAGCTCTTGTCCTGTCAGCACCAGTGTTGCTGAGAGCATAGAAGCTGAGGGTGCAGTCGCTCTGGTCCCTGGGAAAGTGGAGAAGCTCAAAGTCGCAGTTGGTCTCCGTAGTGAGGGCCACATAGAGCTCGACGTGGCCATCTCGGTCCACCTGGGCCCGTGGGCTCTGGTCCTGCCAGTCCACCCAGAGCCTGTGGGAAAACGGCACCAGGGCCGGAGGTCGAGTTCCTTCTCTGAAGCGGGAGGACAGAAAGACAGCCCTATGCCCAGCTGCCATCCCCTGCCCTCAGGGTTCCAAAAGGGAGAGGGGAACAGGGTAGTGGAGGCGCCCTGGTGGTCCTGGTCCGGCAGGGCCACCAGGAGGGGGATCTGCACTGAGGACCTCCAGGCTCTAGGTGCAGAGGACAGATACAGGACAGATGGGGTGGTGGTTCCGGGGACCAGCACTCCCTCCTCCCTTACGCCTCTTGGAGAGTGAGTCCCGGTGTCCACAGTGAGTCCCAGGGCAGTGTTACCAAGCGCGGTGGGTACTCACTGCCATTCCAGGCCAGGCGAGTGTCCAGCCAGGCCTGGGAACACAAAGACCACTAAGGTCATGGCTCTCCGTTTATACGTCTCTCTCTCTCTCAGTTGGGTGAGTAGGTTGATGAAGGCCGGTACTTCTGAGCTGGACTCAGCCGGTTCTCCTGTCCCACCTGCGCCCTTTTAGCCCCGCCCCCCACCCCTGTGGGGCTTACCAGCCGAAGCAGCAACATGGAGGACATTGTGTACCGCAGGATGTCCTGGGGGAGGGGGCAATGTGTCACCTGGGGAGTGGGTGCTACATGACAAAAGAAGGTGGGAGACCCCAGCACTGCAGGGGCGGAGTCCTGTCCTATCCCCATCCCCAGCTCAGCACTGGGGTCCTGCCAGTGCCGCGGCCTGAGGACACTTACCACGTTAAACACATTGGATACGAACACCTGCACGTCTACGAGCAGGGGCGCGCTCCCGTTGTTCGGAATTTGCATGGTTTCCTGAACCGCCAGGGGCGAGTTGAGGTGGAAGAAGGATGGCCAGGCTGAGGGATGGAGGTCGAGGTCAGCCGGGTGCCCTGGGGCCCAAATCCCAAGGCACGGGACTTGATGCCTTCCACCTACCAACCGCTGGCGTGCGGAAGCCGCGACCCTGAACCAAGGGCAGGGTGGTGCCTAGTCTGAGCACAGCGATGTGGAGCAGGAGCCGCAGGGCCATCATCAGCGGCTGCGCGGAGGGGCTGGATCAGCGGCGCCTAACCTGCAACCTCTAAGTCGGTTTCTGGGGAACTGGGCAGTTGGTCAAGGCAGCTGCTCTGTGCAATGACCCTGGAGCTTTGGACTTAGTACCCCCACCCCCACCCCACCCTGGGTTCTGCAAACACCGGAAGACAAAGCCCAGGACCCAGCCCTGCCCGCCCTGCACCTGCCTAGGTTTTCCTGTCCCGCTCCATTTCCACCACCTGGACTGGGTTGCCACGTTCAAGGCCCAGCAAGTGGCCTGAGCAAACACAGAACCCCCCTCCTTCTCCCGCCCCCGCCCTTCCCTGACTGTCCTTCCAGTTTAGGCAGATATCGCAGGCCTCCCTTGAGTTTCCATAGTGAGCACCCGCTTGGCTAAGTAACGAAGCCCTTGTCAAAGTACCTTGCACTCAACGATGTGAAATGGGTACACCCTTGAGAATTTTCTTGCCTCTCCTTAAACACAATTGATTTCAAGTAAAGAGCCTTGACTCAAGGACTCCAGGAATGAGGCTAACCCGGGGACAGATAGAGGCTAGCTCATGAGTAAAGCCGGAGGACATTCCTGTTCTGCACTAGAGTCTCTGTCTACCCCACCCCAGCAGTGCCTTAGAACCGCTGGGGTGCGCCACCGGCAGAGGGGGGAAGGGATTTCCCGGGCCGGAAGGGAGAAACCGAGCCATTTCGAGACCTGATCCAGAATAGCTGCAGCCAGGGAAGAAAACTCCAAGGCTGAAAGTCCGTAGGCACTGATAGGGCTGCCGAGACTCTAAACGGCCCCAGGGAGCTGGGAGCCAGCGAGGACCCACCACACGCGGGCGCACGAACGCTACAAGAAACACACGTAGTGTCTGCGTCTGTCATCGACCGACTTTATCAAGTGCAGTGAGCTTCAACACCCTGCCTGCTTTTGTCGCATGCACTGGCAGCTGCTGGTTTACCGATCTATATATACCTGGCCTGGCGACTCCGGATGGACACGCGCAAAGAGCCTTTGGGCATCGTGCGCTCCCCAGCGTCATTTAGAAATTTCTATGCGGATTTTAACTCGGCTGTCTTCGTGTGGTCCGCCCTCTCCCCCTGTAGTTCAGCAAAGCACCCTGCACCCAATCATCCAAAGCTCCCCTGTGAAGTACCAG